GGGGGGGGGGGGGGGGGGGGGGATGAATGAGTGGGGTCGATGTTATGAGTTCTGAGCTCTGAGAGGTCAATTCTTCACAGGGTAACGCGTTCCTCTTTCCAGTTTCTTCTTTTATCGTTTCCAATACCTTTTACTGGCTGTCTATCCACACTACTACCGCCACTTCTGAGAATCTGTGACTGTAAATACTAAAGAAAAGGGGTCTTATTCAACTTTGACCGACGTACGTTTCTTCTCGGAAGGAAACTGTCGGCAAGGTCTCGTCATCTTGAACCCTCCATGAACTCGATAAAGTTATTTTCTTTCTCCTTTCATTGTCCTAATCTCTCTAATTGTCCATGTATATGGATACAGAAACCTATGTTATCCTTACTTGTAAGGAACTTAGATAAGCCATGTTTATTTATGTCACTGTCATGGGTGTAGTCTGCAGCCCAGAGATCCACCATCAACCAGGGCCACCTAATGGCGGCCCCTCCCCGGCCGATGAGACCATTGAAAGTCGAGCCAAGAAGGAGCAACAAATACATTGTGAGATCCCATATTGGTTGGAGAGAGAAACGAAGTATTCCTTATAAATATGTAGAAACCTCTCCTTAACAGACGCGTTTTAAAATCATGAGGCTGACGGTGATACGTAATGGGTTAAAGAGTCAGACATCGGACAGTGTACCAGCGACAACGCTGGACCTTGGACCTTGGATTGTGAGATCCCACATCGGTTGGAGAGAAGATGGAAGTATTCTTTATAAAATTATAGAGATTTCTCCCTAACAAACCCGTTTTAAAAACCTTATGGGAAAGTCTAAAAAGGAAAGTCCAAAGAAGATGATATCTGCTAGCGGATTGTTCCAACCAACCAGCCACAACCAACCAGCTTGAGCATATCTAAGTCGAATCACATGTCCCTTAACTTGAAGTCCTCCCATCTTCTAGATCATCTTAACCTTAAGAAAAAGCAAAAGCCCACAAACAAGGAGGAGAGTGCAGAAGCTATATCTACGAAGTTCTGTAAAAGCGTCTGCCTCTAAATCTAAAGACAGAAACTCCTCAATGCAATCAAAGGCGTGACCCAAATACAACCAAAAAACATATCACAAAAATCAGGCACTGCAATTACATCACATATCGACAGTTTCACTCAATGCTGCCAAACACTGCATCAAATCTCACATATCGATCAAAAAGCAGACCGACATAAGCAAAATGTAGAGGACGAATGGAAGTGGCATGCAAATATATTTGAAAATAAAAAAACAAATCGTCGAAGATCAAAATACATAAACAGTATTATACCATAACTTTTCAGCTGGGAGAACTTGTGATAATAGAGCTTCCAAATACGAGCAGTAACCGACCGCGCTCCCCATGAACAGCCGCCATTAGCATTTTGGGCAAGTCGAAGACGGGAAGTAAATGAAATATCACCACTGATCTTACTAATAAAAGAAGGCCCATCTTTTAATACTCAATTTATGGACCGGCCCAGTGGGCTCAACTCCAAAATTGATTTGTCAAGCCCATTATAAATGAATTTGGGCCGGCCTTAAAGAAAAAGTAACGGGAATGATTCCATTGAGGCCCAATTAGCCGACCATTTTGCGCGTGCGGAACAGTTAAAGTGGGCTTATCGATGCTTTACGTTGGATGTTGATTTGTTTATTTATTTATTTATTGAATTTAGAGAGCATTTTGGATCCATGTTAGTGGGAGACTTGGAGTTGTGAATAATAATCATATGATTACTTTACATTAATGTCAGTCTCCATGTGCATTTTTCTAATATTATACTTTCTCCTAAATCTATTAATTTATTGTTTTTTTTTTAATAAAATATATATATCTTAATTAATTGAATTATATTTACGTTAATTAAAATTTTAAATTTATTTTAGCAAGATTTTTAAAATAAACGATATTTACTAGTCGTGGGTTTAAATTGTTACAAATGATATCATTGACCTCCTTATAGGTCCGGTGTGCCACTGACCGATTTTTGACTCTTATATCATTTGTAATAATTCAAGCCTATTGCTGACAGATATTGTTCGTTTTGATTATGATATTGATCGATTTGGTATATGACTGGATGAATGCAAATGCATTGCATGCCACCAAACTTATTAAGTTGCCTTTTTTGCTTTTTCATCACGAACCAACAACGTGTCTTTTTCTTACAAATAAACTATTATTTTAAAAAAAAAATTATTCTCTACGACTTTTAAGCAACCTTGCAACCCATGCTCTATAACTATAGTTGGTCGGATATACCCTCGCTTTTATTCGAATTTACTTTTGGGTATAAATTAATGAAGGCGGAGCAGGACAAGAATGGGAGGGACAGAAGCGGAATTGTGATTGGGCCTCCACGTCGGCGTATGTCAGCTTGGCCGTCACAGACAAATGAAAATGTTATTCTCATTTTACCAGCACTGTAAAATTTTTAGAAATAAATTAATTAAAAATGGTAAAAAGATTAAATAAAGAAACAGTAACATGATTTTACCCGGGTAATATAAAATGCCAAATCACCCGAAAAAGTAAAAACCTCATGGAAACTTGGAGTGCTTCTTTCTCTCTCTTCTTCTTTCTATGAAACTTTTGTAAGCTCCGAGTTTCATCCTGCGTGGATTACAGGTTTCTGCAAATTTGTAGGCTACATCGCGGAATCGCCATTAAAGGGCTAAAGCTTGCATTCCTCAGCCTTTTCCCGTAGCTGAAGGTTACAATTCTTGTTCTGAACCATTGGTTTCTATCTCACGGTGAGCCGAGATTTCCGGGTTTTTCCGAATCCAGGTTCTTCTTAACGCCCACACGCAACTGCTTTCTTCTCACCTCATATGTTTTAAGCTTCAATTTGTGTTCTGCATGTTTTTGGAAGGGGTTTCCATGAATTGAGATCTATCCAATAAAGCTTTATCTCTGTATTTGATTCCGTGGACATATGTACTTTCGTTTCGTTTTTTTTATAGTTAAAATGGTGATTCCTTTTCCGTTCGTTCTACTGTTTGGTCTACTTTTGGAAAAGTGATTGGCGTGTTTTGGTTACTGCTTCTTAATTGATCTGAATTCTTCAATTTCTGTTTTATCCACGAATTTGCAAGCATATTCTTCTTCGACTTGTCAAGTGTTGTGGATTCTTCGTGGTTAAAAGGCTTTGATTTTGGAAACACTCTGTGCCTCTCTTCGTTTTTGCACGGCTGTTTATTGGGTTGTGGTCTTTCAGGGTCCTGTCAAAAAAAATGAGAGGCGTAAATCGGTATGTTCGTAATCTACGATCAGCCTTTTCTCAAAAAACACACCATCAAACGGATGTTCTTCGACGAGGGCAAAGGCAAAAGCAATTGGTTCATACCAATTCTGAGTCCTTTTTTATTGTCAAATCAGATAAATTCCGAAGCCCAAAATATTTGAACTTAAGAGCTCTGTCAGTTGACGCAGCTAAACTTTGTAATGGAGGTATCTCTCTCCCCACTGTCCTTTTCCGTTAAGATTTAAGTTTTATGAGCGAAACTGGATACTTTTGTTTTTAATTTGGACTTTGGGGGTTCAATTGCAGATTATAACGTGGCAGGGCCACTCGTCGAGTATGAACGTAGAATAGCTGCTGGTGAGCTTGTGGATGGTGATAGCTGTCAGGTAAAGGCCAGCAGTTCCCCCTGCATTTTCATCGTTTATATTTAGGGATGAAAGTGGAACAGTCCATGATAATTTCTAGCAGTTCCCCCTGCATTTTCATCGTTTTCGCTTTTGGAAGGTTATTTTCAAATTTCTACCTTCTCCCTCTGCCTGCTTTTTTTAGAGAACCAAAATGGCTGATCAACCCAAACGGGAAAAAAATAAAAATAGTATAATTTTAACACTACATCTTTGTAACGCTACTATTGGCTTAATATTAACGGAATTTGATTTTGATTTTGATTTGAAAATATGTTTCTGTTGATAGATTACATGTCTATTCATTTGTTTTGAACCTGTTGAAATTAATTCTCATAGTCTCCTGCCAGGTGGGCACCCTGAGGGAACTTCAGAGACTCTATGACGAACTTGTTAATTCAGCTGAAGCGTGCCGGTTGGATAGATATGCAGTATCAGAAAAATCAGGAAGGTAGTTCTTTCATCATGTAGTTATAGTGCTTGTAGTCGGATTATTCGAACTGATTTAATCTTTTAGTTTCTTATTTGGCACTAGATTGTTCTTATTAATCTTCTTTTTCTGGTCTATAACAGGAGTAGGTGGTTGTGGTCTCGCTTCATTCCTCAGTCATCCTACTCTCCAGTTAAAGGTCTATATCTCTATGGAGGAGTAGGCACTGGAAAAACTATGTTAATGGACTTGTTTTTTGATCAGTTGTAAGTTTGTTGAATTCAAGAATCAACTCTTGTGTTTCTCCAGCCTTTTATTTGCTTTCCTGCCTTTATGTTGACAAATGGTTCCACGAATTCAAATGATAACCAAATATTATGAGTTCTTTTTGGGATTTAGTTTATTCCACATATGCTATCCATTGTCTGTTTTCTCTTATTGCGTTCTTATCTTAGACTTTTCTCCTTATAGACCCAGCAATTGGAGGAAAAAGAGGATCCATTTTCATGACTTCATGTTGAACGTTCATAGTCGTTTGCAGGTGGGACTTACTATTTTCTTCATTAGTAGTGAATGTTTCTTTTAATGAAATCTTCAGTGCCAATGTGAGTGTAGATCAATTGATATAAAATATGTAGCATCGACCAAAAGGATAGAGGTTTGAATCCCTTGCACGTATTGCTAAACTCAAAAAAAAAAAAAAAAAAAAAAAA